GCATGTGTGTTCATCAGGGATATTGGCCTGTAATTTTCTTTTTTGGTGGTATCTGTCTGGTTTTAGTATCAGGGTGATGCTGACTTTGTAATACGATTTTGGAAATATTCTGTCCTTTCAGTTTTTCAGAATAATTTGAGAAGGATGGGTACTAACTCTTTAAATGTTTGGTAGAATTCATATCTGAAGCCATCTGTCCCTGGACTTTTGTTTTTGGGGAGTTTTAAAATTATGGTTTGGGCGCCTGGGTGGCTCAGTTGGTTAAGCGACTGCCTTCAGCTCAGGTCATGATCCCAGATCCCACATCAGGCTCCCAGCTCTATGGGGAGTCTGCTTTTCCCTCTGACCTCCCCTCTCATGCTCTCTCACTCTGTCTCTCTCTCAAATAAATAAATAAAATTTTAAAAATACGGTTTAATTTCATTACTTGTAATCAGTCTATTCACATTTTTTTTTAAAGATTTTTATATATTTATTTGACAGAGAGAGAGAGATCACAAGTAGATAGAGAGGCAGGCAGAGAGAGAGGGGAAGCAGGCTCCCTGCTGAGCAGAGAGCCTGATGTGGGACTCGATCCCAGGACCCTGAGATCATGACCTGAGCTGAAGGCAGAGGCTTAACCCACTGAGTCACCCAGGCGCCCCTGTCTATTCACATTTTCTATTTCTTCATGATTCAGTCTTGGAAGGTTGTGTGTTTCTAGGAATTTATCCATTTCTTCTAGGTTTTCCAGTTTGTTCAAAGTATTCTCTTTGATCCTTTGTATTTCTGTGGTGTCAATTTTAAGTCTTCTTTCATTTCTGAATTTATTTGGATCCTCTCTGTTTTTGTTTTGTTTAGCTTTTGATGAGTTAGTCTAGCTAAAAGTTTGATTTTATCTTTTCAAATAGCCAGCTTTTAGTATTGTTGATCTTTTGTTTTCTTATTGCTATTTGTTTTTGCTCTGATCTTTATTAGGTACTACTAAATTTGGGCTTTGTTTGTTCTTTTTCTAGTTCCTTTAGGTTTAAAGTTAGACCATTCACTTGTGATTTTTCTTGTTTCTGGAGATAGGCCTGTATTGCTGTGAATTCCCTTTTAGAACTTCTTTGCTGCCTTCCATAGATTTTGGAAAGTTATGTTTCCATTTTCATGTGTTTCAGATATTTTTTTATTTCCTTTTGATTTCTTTGTTTGACCCATTAGTTTAGTCTGCATGTGTTTGTGTTTTTTCCAGTTTTCTTCCTGTGATTGATTTCTAGTTTCATACTGTTGTGGTCAGAAAAAGTTCTTGATATGATTTTAGTCTTGAATTTTGGAGACTTGTTTTTTGGGCCAACATGTGATCTGTCCTAGAGAATGTTTCATATACACTTGAAGAGAATGTATATTCTGCATTTGGATGAAAATGTTCTATATATATCTATTTAGTCCATCTGGCCTAATGTGTTGTTTAAGGCCAGTGTTTCCTTATTAATTTTTCTCTCTGGATGATACATTCATTAGTGTAAGTGGGATATTAAAGTCTCCTACTATTATGGTATTATCGTAAATTTTTCCCTTTATGTCTGTTAATATTTGCTTTATATGTTTAGGGACTCCTGTGTTGGGTGCATAAATACTTATGAATGTTATATCCTCCTGTTGGATTGACCCCTTCATCATTATGTAATATTCCTCTTTGTCTTTTGTTACAGTCTTTGTTTTAAGTTCTTTTGTCTGATACATGTATTGCTACTCCAGCTTTCTTTTCATTTCCATTTGCATGGAATATCTTTTTCTACTTTTTCACTTTCATTCTGTGTGTCTTTAGAATCAAAGTGAGTTTCTTGTAGGTCACATATAGATAGGTCTAGTTGTTGTTTTTTTTTTAACCCAGTCACCCTGTCTTGATTGGTGCATTTAATCCATTTACATTTAAAGTAATTGTTGATACCTATGTAGTAATTGCTATTTTTGTTGTTTTTTGGTTGTTTTTGACGTTCTTCTTTGTGCCTTTCTTTTTCTCTTGATTTCTTCCCTTGCGGTTTGATGGTTTCCTTTAGTGTTACATTTGGTTTCCTTTCTCTTTATTTTTTTGTGTGTATCTGTTGTAGGTTTTTGGTGTGTTGTTACTCTGAGGTTCATGTTTGAGATATGTTTGTTTTAACCTGATAGTGCTTACATTTGAGTGCATTCTATAAGTTTGTTCCTTTTTATTGCCAAGTAATATTCTATTATATGGATGAACTAGTTTAACAATCATCTGCTGAAGGGCATCTGTATTGTTTCCATTTTTGGCCATTACCAATAAAGCTGCCACGAGTCACTTATGTACAGATTTTTGTGTGAACATATTTTCATTTTTCTGAGATAAATGTCCAGGAGTGCAATTCTGGGCCATATTGCCACTTCGTGTTTGGTTTTGTAAGAAGCTGCCATTGTGGCATTTACATCCTTAACTAGCAACAAATGAGAGATCCAGTTTTCCCACATCCTTGCCAGACTTTGGTGTTATCATTCTTTTTTATTTTAGGTATTTTGATAGATTTGTAGCAGTATCTCATTGAGATTTTAATTTTCGTTTCCTAATGGCTAATGGTGTTGAACATCTTTTCATGTGCATATTTGCCATCTGTGTATCTCTTCTGTGAAATGTCTCTTTGTGTCTTTGTACATGTTTTATTTTTATTTTTTAAGATTTAGACAGGGCAAGAGAGGGAGCATAAGCAGGGGGAGTGGTAGAGGGAGACCAGGCTACCCACTAAGCAGGGAGCCCAATGTGGGGCCCTATCCCAGGTCCCTGGGATCATGACCTGAGCTGAAGGCAGATCCCCAATGACTGAGCCACCCAGGCACCCCTCTTTGTACGTGTTTTAATTGTGTTTTTTCAGTGTTGAGTTTTGAGAGTTCTTTATGTATTCTGGGTACTAGTCCTTTGTTGGGTATGTGGTTGGCAAATATTTTCTCACTGTTTTTAGCTTATCTTTTCATCCTTTTCCGGAGTCTTTCATAGAGCATAAGTTTTTTTATTTTGACTGAAATCCAACTTACCCATTTTTCCTTTTATGGATTGGACTTCTGGCATCTAATAACTCCTTGCCTAATTCTATATCCTGAAGATTTTCCATTTTTTTTATTTTCTATTTTTTTAAAGTTTTATAGTTTTGTATTTAATAAATGCAAATAATACTAATAACATAAATTTTGTATATAGTGTAAGATTTGGGTTGAGGTTCTTTTTTTTTCAAGTTTTTATTTAAATTCCAGCTAACATACAGTGTGATACTAGTTTCAGATGTAGAATTTAGTGATTGATCACTTACATACAATACCTAGTGCTCATCACAGCAAATGCACCCCTTAACCTATCCCTCTCACCCACCTGAGGTTCCTTTCTTTTTTTTTTTTCTCCTGCTGTTTAATTGCTTCAGCACCATGTTGAAAAAATACCTTTCCTCTATTGAACTGCTTTTCACCTTTATCAGTAATTTGTTGGGCATATTTATGTGGTCTTTTACTGGGTTTTCTCTCTGTTCTAGTGACAAATGCATCTATTCCTCCATTAATACCACAGAGTTGATTACTAGAGCTATGTATTAGATCTTAAAATTGGATAAACAGATTCCTCCAACTTTATTCCTCTTTTTCAAAATTGTGCTAGCTATTCTAGTTCCTTTATTTTTCCATATAAATTTTGTAATAATGTCTATGTCTACAAAAAAAAAAAACTCTTTATGATTTTGATAGGAATTCGATTAAATTTGTATATCAGTGTGGGGAGAATGGATATATTTACTCTCGGGTCTTCTGATATATGAACTCCATATGTTTTAGCTTTTATTTTGATCTTCTTTAATGTATTTGATCAGTAGTTTGTAGTTTTTAGCATATAAGTCCTGTACATATTCTGTTAGATTTATGCTAATTTGTTTTTGAGTGATTGCAAATGGTATAGTAATTTTAATTGTGTGCATGTGTTCATTGTTAGTATATAGAAATACACTTGGTTTTTATATGCTTATCTTGCATCTATGACTTTCCTGAGCTTACTTATTCTAAAGATTGTTTTTTCTTGTAGATTCCTATGGATTTTCTCTATAGACAGTCATGTCATCTGCAAATACGTACCGTTTTATTTCCGATTTATGTGTCTTTTATTTCCTTTTTTTTTTTTTTTTTTTTTTTTTGGTCTTATTGCACTGGCTAGAACTTCCAGGATTGTGCAGAATAAGAGTGATGAGAGAGAATGAAAGTGATTAGGTAGATATCCTTGCCTTGTTCCTCATCTTAAGGAGAAGGCATTTAGTCTTTCACCATCAAATATAATGTTAGCTGTGGATTTTTTGTAGATATGCTTCATAAATTTGAGATAGTCTCCCTCTATTCCTATTTTTCTGAGAGTTCGTATCATGAATGGATGTAGACATTTGTCGTATGCTTTTTTTGTTTGTTTTTTGCATTGATTGATGTGATTATGTGATTTTTCTTCTTTAGCTTTTTATTGTGGCAGATTACACTGATTACTTTTCAAATATTGTACTAGCTTTGCTTCCTTGGAAGAAACCCCCGTTGGTCATGACATATCATTCTTTGTATGTATTGCTGAATTCTGTTTGCTAATATTTTAAGGATGTTTATATCTGTATCCATAAGGCATATAGGTCTGTAGTCCTGGAAGATTCTGTCCCACTTAACAAGCCTGGCCAGATCCTGACTTGAATGCCCTTCACGGCAATGTGGGGGTACCAATCACTATAGCTGAAACTGGGGACAGATTTCATACCACCTTTTCTAATTGGAGACTCATTATAGGGAAAACTACCCATAGGGTACACTTGACATAATGAGCCACTTAGTCTTCCTGGAGGCCCCCCCCCCCAAGTAATTAAGATTAGTTTTGGAGTGATTGCCACTGTTGGCCTGCTTGTTGGTTACCCAGAGCTTGCTCATGGTGTTTTTAAAAATACCTGCAGGTCTAAGATGCAAATAACAGTGTTTTGGGGAGGAGGCACGTTAATACTGACTTCCACAAAAAAATCACAGGCCCAGGGGTGCACATGGTGTCCTTGGAAAGAAATTGCTTTACAGTTTATGACTGGGACCCACGTGGCTCAGAGGGCACAAGGCGTCAAGACATCCCGTATAATCTTCGGCCATCTGGTAGGCATGACGGTTTTCACTTAAGTAAACATCATTGCATTTGGAACTTATTTTTGGAGGGACTGCCTAAGGGGAGTCAGTCCGGTCTGCCTTGTCTGTGCCACTAGCTGAGAGGTGTTTGTCCATTGGGGTAGCTGTGGGAAGTTGGGGAGGTGCAGTGGTGAAGAAGACACCTGGAAATGTGGGCAGGTGTTTTGTGTGGGAGCTACAGAGGCTGGGATATGTTTCTGATAGACTGTTCTGGTAACAGTGATCCTATTGTGGTCACAGCCATCTTTCAGGAGTTGGGGGATTCAGGTATCAGTAAATTAGAGGTGCTTAGAATCGTTCGGGGGAAATTCAGCAGGGTGTTTTGCTTCATGAGGACTTCAGCAGGGGCAGGTAGTTTTTAAGACAGGAGACCTCTAATGAGCGACCCCCCCCACCGGCCCCACATCTTCTGGGGTAGAAGTTGTTCTCTATGGACATGTCCTAGATATTAAGTTTGTTTCCCTCCCTCCACCCGGACAAAAATCCATGTTTCTCATTCCAGTGCTATAACTTTACGTTTCTTCTGATCAGCTCCTATTCCTTGAAGGGATTTTTTTTTTTTTTTTTTTTAAGATTTTAAGCCTCCCCACCCCCAACATGGGGCTCAAACTCATGACCCCAGGATCAAGAGTTGCACACTCCACCAACTGAGCCAGCCGGGTTCCGCATCCCGCTGAAGGGAATTTTTGTAAAACTCACAGAGACCTGTTATGTCACCCCACTTTGGCCTGCAGTGTGTTTGCATGGTCATTATGCTTGTGATCTAGGACCTGGTCCGTTCAACAAGAGAATCCAGAATTCAAGTCCCCCAGGCCCCTTTTGGCTCCTTGTCACATGGAGGGTGTAGCAATTCGGCTGGTGGGGGCCTTCTGTAGAGGAAAGAGAGAAGCATTGTAAGTAATGGCCAGGGTGGAATCCCAGGATTTCACATTGGTCTGTATAAACCACTCTCCCCTGCCTAGTCCTGTTTGTTCTTGTCATTACTGGGAAATGGCTGCTAGAGGAAGGTCCTTTTCTAGGGGCAGCCACGTTCGGAGCAGACTGCTGCCCCACCATATGTGCTCCGGGAGGTTGAGCAGGTAGATGGAGAAATCTTTTAGAGTTGTTTCTCGGGAGGTTTTTTCACTGTGTCATGATTCCAGATGGCTGTGGATGGTGGAGGAGGGGAAAGTCTATGGACTACCTTGACTTTTAGCCCATTGTTCCTTGGCATTGGTGATAAATGTTGAACCATGGTCAGCCTGCAAATAGGGTGGAAAACCAAACACATGGCTTGGACTCATTTCAAGGGTCACAGTGGCATGACTGGAGTCAGGTGATTTGGAATATTAACACCCAAACCTGGGAAAAACTGCCAATGGGAGTGTGGCGTCCCGAGAGGAAGTCAGAGGTTGAATGTTGTACATCTGGTGGGAGTGGGTCAGGGCAGCAGTATGTGCCGTGTGGCCTCCCTCACTGTGGGACCAACGCTTCAGCTTCTGGCTGGAGTCCCAAGTCTGGCGGAGGCCCTGCCTTGGACGTAGAGTTCTTCTTGTTGTGCCCATGCCTGAAGACAGACCAAGATGGCGGCCATGGTAGGTCTGGGCAGCGTGGGCTCCAGCAGTGGCTGGAGGCCAGGGGGTGTCATCAGAGAATAGGCCCTTGTGTGGGCATCTAGGGGAGTTGCCCTGGTGGTTCAGCCAGCAGCTGAGAGTTGTCACAGTTCACAGCCCAGTGGATGGTTTTCCAAGAGGCAGATCAAACCACTAGGCCCTTGGTGACAGCTCAAATGTCAGTAAAAATGCAAGCTCCATCTGTGGGAACATTAGCCAGGGCTGTGGGAACGGACTTGAGTTCTGCCCACTGAGCAGAGGGACCGTGTGCATTTTTGGTTTATCACAGGGAGGGGAGGCAGGGGAGCTTGTTGCAGTGGCATTTCTCTACCTGTAGCTCTTCCTGATGTGGGGAGAACCCCCTCAGGTACCGCATATAGGAAAGTGTAAGCAAATGTAACATACCATTCATACTGAAGAATGACAGTACTTTGAATTGGCCTGAAGGGCCCCATCCACTGGGTCATGTTAGTCTCTTTCCCATTGTGAATCCTGTCCAAACTCCGTGGGCTGAATCTGAGTATTTTCTCCCAGCACAGGACCAGGTAGGATGGTACCTGGGTGCCTGTGTCCACAAAGCCATGAAAGTTTGAGTCCCTCCCCTCCCGGAAGTTCCCCAGCACTCTTGGGTGCGTAAGGCCTTTGGTCTCTCTTAGGGACAGGGAGACCCCAGCCTACCCATAATCCTTCTCCTCCTCCTTAAAACAGATGTCAGGGTAGAGGGTGAGGGGAGGGGTTGGGAATACATAGGAGGAGAGCAGCTCTGTGCCAATCAGCAAGGCCCACTTTTCGTTCCAAGTGGCCTGGTGGCTATTCGTGGCTCAACTTAGTGAACTTTTCAGTCACCCAGTCTCTAGATCCTCATTGCGGACCTCATTTGTTTCGGCTCTGGGGACTCCTTCGGTGTTCAACAGCCACAGCCCCGTTGCCTCTCATCAGAGAGGTGGGCGATATGCAGCGTCGCTGGGGGGAGTGACTGACTGACTGCCAGCCAAAGCACCACTGGACAGCTCCTTTCAATCCTGCCCTTTGCTGCTCACCCTCTAGAAGTTAATTATCCCTTTCTCCTCCATACCCGCCGCTTGGACAAGAGCATTTGCTACCAGATCTCAGGGGATCTTCTTACAGCCCCTAAGCCCACGAGACCTTTGCCTGGTCCAAATAGCCATGTCTGTGGCAGCATCCGTTCTTGTCAGCAACAGCTGCCAAGAACTGTGAAGAACCTGAGATTTTACCCTACTTGAAAGCTGACAGCCCGTCACAGTTTGCCAGACACCGGCAGAAGACAAGGCACTCTGGGGTCAGAGACAAAGGATTGTCTGTATACAACACGGCCAGCAGCAGGATTTGCATGTTTTTGTCCATGCTTCTTGCCTCACAGATCCCATGGGGACAGTGCGAAGGTCCCAGAAGGATGCTGTCCACGCAGTGGGTTTGAGTCCGGCTGGAGAGCCCTGACTTCGGGTAGTCCTAATCTCTTATAAAGTGCTATGAACAAACCTGCCCAACCTTAGCCCGGAGAGAGACATAACTTTTATTATACTGGACAACCTTCTCCTCTGGAGGGAGAGGGAGAGGATATCTCTGTGTTTCTAGGCTGTTTGCTAGACACACCCCTGTGCACAGAAAGTTCAGAACCAAAGCAGCCAGTTCCTCATAAGAGTTGCAGATGTGTGAGAGATCTGTGGAGACTCACCTCTTAGCACATGGTACAAGGATTAACATTCTTACCGATGATTGTGAATCAAGAAAACTAGAACTTATATTCCGTACATCTTGTTCAAGAAGGAAAGCATGTGAAGTATTCTTTCCAAAGAGTTTAGTGTCTCACCCCTTTGGAAAACTCAACTGTCCAGGATGAGTCAGTTCTCTGGGTCTTCCTTGCCTTGAGCAGAGAACACAAATTGTGATTTTGTGTATTTGCCCCAACTTGAGGGTCACAAAGGCAGGTCTGTGGAATTATAGTTGTTGATTTTTCAGGGGGGTAATATACTGAGAGTGAACAGCATTCAACAGTTTGTTGATTAGAATTGCTTATGACCCTTTCTCAGGAAAGGGCAACTGCTAATGGCATTATGCAATGAAGTACAACACTGAGAAGCATTTGGTAGCCATCAGATTTAGCTAATATTCTAATATTTACTTTGTATGTATTGTGCTATGTGAACACCTAAGATGGAAAACTGTTTTTCTTAACCTATCTAAGAAAAAAAAAGGTTGAGGTTAAAGACTTTAAAATCACTCGTAAGTTAATAGATTGAAAACGACTTTCTCAAAAGTTTTATGTCCATGAAAGATGCGTAACTGAATTTTCCTTTTTTTTTTTTTTTTTTAAGATTTTGTTTATTGACTTGACAGAGTGAGAGAGCATAATGGGGAGAGTAGGAGGGGAAAGGGAGAAGCAGGCTCTCCACTGAGCAGGGAGCCTGATGCAGGACTCAATTCCAAGACCCTGGGATCATGACCTGAGCTGAAGGTGGACGCTTAACCGACTGAGCCACCCAAGCGCCCCCTGAATTTTCTAATAGTGATTTGATTTGAATTATACAACTAAACACTTAGAAAAAGGCGAAGGGGATTTCAAATGTTTATTTAATCCTCACATGGTCTCAGTTTATAAATGTATACTTAATTTCATATTTTAAAAATTATGCTTTTGAAAAAATTTAAAGCAAATTCCTGTTCATTTTTCCCCATTTGTATTATAATGACCAGCTTTTACTATTTCATTGTCACTGAGATCTATTTTTATTTTTTTAACTTAATTTTTTCTTAAGATTTTATTTATTTGAGAGAGAGAGAGAGCACAAGAGGGAGGAGGGTCAGAGGGAGGAGCAGACTCCCCATTGAGCAGGTAGCCTGATGTGGGACTCCATCCTGGGACTCCAGGATCATGACCTGAGCCAAAGGCAGACGCTTAACCGACTAAGCCACCCAAGTGCCCCCGAGATCTGTTTTTAGAATAAAATTTTGTTCTGCCTCTAAGAGTTAAAAAAAAACATAAAAAATGCTTTTCAGGTAGGCCAGAGGAGATTAAATTAACATTTCACTTTTAGTCATAATCTTCAGTGTGATGAGATTTAATTTATGAATTTCATAAATTTATTCTTATGAACTTTAGTTATATAGAAATGTACAGTTAGTAATTGGCCAAGGTTGAGTTCTCTGTAAAAGGTGGACATTTATCATTCACCTACTTAGCAGGATGCCAGGTGCTCAGTATTTTTAAGAGTAATAAAAATAATGGTTTTTATCCTTTCCTTCCCTGGTCTTAACTTTTTTTTGGTAAAATGACCTATTTAGATGATATTTAGCAATACATATGATTATTTACTCCACAATCAGTAAGGTGCAATATTGGAATCCTTTGCATTTCAGTGACTGTCATCTTAGCAGAATTCCTTCTTTATTCTACTTTTATACCTGATTGTCTGTGCCACTTTAGTTTCCTCACATAGAGGAACAATAAACTGGATTTCTTACCCTCTTTTTATTGATTTGTTTCAAAAGGAAGACAAATGGGCTTTTTGCCCTGTAATATTAGTTCCTAACTTTAGAGGAAAAATAGGCATTTTGTGCAATATACATTTATATTCTTTTTTTTTTTAATTTATATTCTTTGTATTTGGTTAGAACAATACTTTGGAAGTTGTACCTTTTTCGTGTGGGCAACGCAAGCTTTTTAATTTTACTTTTAAATAATCTCTACACCCAGCGTGGAGCTGGAACTTACAACCCTGAGATCAAGAGTCACCTGCTCTACCGACTGAACTAGCTGGGGCCCCATACTGGTAAGACAAACACTGAAGCCAACTTGTTATATGGCAGTTTTGGTTTTATAATATTTACATTGAGGAAGGAGATACAACTTTACAAAGATTTTTAGTTTTTTCCAAAATGAGTTACCCTAGGAGTCTGTTAAAATTCACGTCCTATCTCAGAAACCTCCGGGTTGCAGGAAGGAAGGTCACCCAGTGCCCTCTTCTTTCTCGTGGTTATAGAATATTCTCCATGTTAACTGCTTGAATGTTGAGTGCTTTCGTACTCTTACAGCTTCTAATACTTAACTCATTTTGGATTCCATTCTCTTACAAAAAGGTCAAGAGCATGCTTTCTTCAAATGCTTTCAAAGGCACATGTCCTTTTTTTGGGGTGATAAAGTCGGTCTTCCTTATTCGCACATTCTTTTTGAAATCACCTACTACTAAAATTTATTTGTAGCCCTGAAAGCAAGACTCAGAGTACTTTTTTGGCTGAAATGTGCAGAACAGTGAAAAGTTTGAGTTCCCAACATTCTCAGCTGAGGTCAAACCAGGGGACCTGCTTGTCTTAGCTCTCGTACTGTAAATGTTTCTGGTTTACACTCAGTGTAGTGCCATGCTTTTCACATTTTTGTGCTTTTTGTTGGCAACCTCACTATTTAAAATGGATCCTACCTGGAGTGCCGAAGTGCCCAGGAAGGCTGTGATGTGCCTAAAGGAGAAAAATACGCACCTTAGATAAAACTTTTTTCCCATACCTGAGTTATAGTGCTGTTGGCTGTTGAGTTGAATGTTAATAAGAGATCAATAATATATAAAATAAGGCATCTTCAAACATAAACACACATAAAACAAGGTTACACATTGATCAGTTGATGAAAATATTGTGACCCAGATATACCAGAGACTCATGAAAACCTCACCCTGTATTTCTGCAGGAGCAGTGGTTCACTATTCACTAATTCAGTGTTCACGACCACTGGATAGATCTTATTTACTGTGAATAACCAGCATTGGCTTCAGTTAGTTGTTTCATTTATTTTCTTTGGGCTGATGGAGATCAGTCTGATGTCAGCAAGTGAGTGTTCTGTGAGTATGCCTATTTTGTACTTGTCATCGTGGTGGGCTCAGAGCCTTTACATACTGTGCTCGATTTATTTTCACCTCGGGAACCTGTACCACCTGATTGACAGTCCTTCAACTCAGAATTTTGCAATGAGGAGAGGAGCCAACTTGGAATGAGCACAGTTGGGTCTTTAGGGAAGTTGGCCTGCAGCTTGACTTGGCTTTTCCTGACCATTCCATGCTGAATTTCCACATCAGCCATCCATGCTGCTGGGGCCTGGGCCATAAAACAAAACAAAACAAAACAAAAAAAAAACAGCTCCGACCTGTCCTGTAAGGACCAGGGAGTTCTAGTCCAGGAGGGGAGGCTGCTGGGCTACATCCATTCTTGGTTCTGATGAGGCACTGGTTACCTGTCAGGGACCTGGGAGCGCCCTGTGAGGGCTTTCCTACACAGATTTTGTGTTTCTTTGTTTTCAAAAGTTGAGTTTGTTTTGGATGTGGTGGCTTCTTCATTATCCCAAACCATTTGGGTAAGTATCAGCCAGAACAGGTTATTTTTTAGGCAGGGAGGTTTAGAGACCTTCCTAACCCCTAGGCACTGTCACTTTCTCTCCCTCTCTCTCTCTCTTTTTTACCTCTCACCCCTCTACACTGTTTCTTTTCAAATTCCCACCCTACATCATATTAAATATACCCATATTGTATATTAAACTTAACATATAATTATGAATAGAGTTGAGTTGCCGTTGAAATGTTATATGGTGTAGGTATTTGATTAAATGTTAATTTTGATTTTTCAAAATTTTCATATTCTGAAGCAGTAAGCCTTTTCTTTACGGTCTCAAATTTCTTTTCTTTTTAAAAAAGATTTATTTTTTAGGGGCACCTGCGTGGCTCAGTCATTGGGCATCTTGCCTTCAGCTCAGGTCATGATCCCAGGGTCCTAGGATCGAGCCCTGCATTGGGCTCCCTGCTCAGCAGAGAGTCTGCTTCTCCCTCTCCCACTCCCCCTGCTTGTGCTGTATCTCTCTCACTGTGTGTCTCTCTCTGTCAAATAAATAAAATCTTTTAAAATATAAATAAAAAGATTTATTTTTGTGAGAGAAATCATTTGCCTGCACAAGCTGGGGGGAGGGTGGGGGGTGAAGGGGCAGAGGGAGAAGGAGACTCCCCACTGAGCAGGGAGCCCGAAGTGGGACTCGACCCCAGGACTCTGGGATCATGATCTGAGTCAAAAGCAAACTCTTAACATGCTGAGCCACCCAGGCTCCCTAAGATCTCAAGTATTCTCATGGGCAGTGGAAAAGCTCATAGACTGAGGTACTATGACTGCAGTGCAGGAAAGGATGCAGGTTTTCCCCAGCCCGTTAGCTGCACTTGGTTCTGCTGACATTGCTGAGGGCTCTCGTATGCCTCAGGCCATACATGTTGCTGGGTGTCCCAAATAAGCCGCAGAGCATTCTTTCTCTCAAGGGGCTGATAGACCAGACCCCTTCAACAGCCGTCTTCCTTGTGGCACAACCAGGTGCTGTGCTGTGGGTGGCCAGAGGGGCTGGTTGCTGAGACTGGGGCAGAGGAGGAGCTGACAGCAAGGGTGTCCTGGAGCAGGAGGTCCCGACTGAGTTTTGAAGGCTGCCTGCGTGGTGGTACAAAGGGGCGCGGGACAGCGGGGATGTGGGGTAAGCCGGGGGGCAGAAGGGTATGGCTGAGGCTTGGAAACAGTGTGGTATGTGTTGGAGACTGTGCGCTGTCTTGGCTGCTGGAAGGTGGGTGGTGGTGGTGACAGAGAGCATCAGAGCGGAGGGAGGGGCTGGCAGTGGAGGGCTTCTGTGCCATCTTAGACAAGACCAGACCCGTCCTGGGTGTGTGACCTACTTCTGGGACCTCTGACTGCTGCATGCATTTGAGATTTATTGGTATACCTTAACTGCATGTCAGATGCATCACCAAATTTCTCACCCTCTCCATCCTTAACAGCATTGATAAATTCTGTAATGTTTACTTTTGTCCTGGTACCTCTTCTTAAAAGGAAATGGCTTGGTTTTATTTTATTTTTTTTTAAAAGATTTTATTTATTTATTTATTTATTTATCTGAGAGAGGAAGAGAGACAGAGAGAGAAAGCACGAGAGGGTGGAGGGTCAGAGGGAGAAGCATACTCCCCACTGAGTAGGGAGTCTGGTGCGGAACTCAATCCCGGGACTCTTCATTCATGACCTGAGCGGAAGGCAGTTGCTTAACTAGCTGAGCCAGTCAGATACCCTGGGAATGGCTTAAAGTTTTTAAAAATAACTTTTTGTCCATGCAAACCACACCAGGGAAGCACACATGTAAGCATACAGTGAAACAGCTTAACTGAAAAACACATAATCATTATTAAAACATCAAGCGATATTAGAAGTACATGAAACCGAGAAGTCTCTTATATTTCTACCATTCAGAGATAGCCACTGTTAACATTTTGGTAAATGCTGCTCTGGATGTCTCTGTGTGCTTATGGAAATACTGCCTACCTGTGGTTTTCTAGCTTGTGTTTTCATTCACTGGTGTGTCGTAGCCGTCTTTCAAAGTAGTGTCCGTGGATCTGTATTTCCCTTTAGTGACTGCAGGGGTTTTGTCTTATGGTAACTGTGTGACAGAGTTTACCTGAGCAGATCTTCGTTGATGGGCACCTAGACAGATTCTAATTTTTGTTAAGTATTAGAAGCACTTCAGTGAAAAACAAGTTCCTTGAATGTATGTCTTTGTGCACTTTTCTTAAAATGATTTTATTGTGAGAAATTTTAAACATATTAAAAAAATAGGATAGTATGGCAAGTTCCCATATATACCCAGCTTAAGCACTTAACAATGTTCTGCCATTCTTTCCTTTAATCTATACTCTCATACTGCTTTTTCCTCTGCCAGGGTATTTGAAAGCAAATCATTCATACCGTTTCACCTATGTATACCTTACTCTTAAGAGCTCAAAAACATAATAATATCAAATAAAGAGAACATTAATTCCTAATATCATCATCATATTCTTTTTTTATATATTTAAATTTTCTCACAATAAAAACATTTATGTGGGGCGCCTGGGTGGCTCAGTGGGTTAAAGCCTCTCCCTTTGGCTCAGGTCGTGATCTCAGGGTCCTGGGATGGAGCCCCACCCACATAGGGCTCTCTGCTCGGCGGGGAGCCTGATTTCCCCTCTCTCTATGCCTGCCTCTCTGCCTCCTTATGATCTCTGTCTGTCAAATAAATAAATAAAATCTTTAAAAAAAACATTTATGCATATCAGAATCCATCTAAAATGTTGCATGGGTTGATCTCTTTAAGTCTCTTTTAATTTCTAATCTTCTTCTCCTTCTTTATTTCTTGTGTTATTTATTTATTGAAGAAACCAAGTCAGGGATGCCTGCCTGAGTGGCTCACTCCGTTAAACATCTGCTTACAGCTCAGGTCATGATCCCAGGGTTCTGGGATCAAGTCCTGCATCAGGCTCCTTGCTTAGCAGGGAGCCTGCTTCTCCCTCTGTCTGCTGTTCCCCCTGCTTGTGCTTTCTCTCTCTCTCTCTCTCTCTCACACAGAAAAATAAAAAAATAAAATAAACCAAGTCATTTATTGAGCAGAATTTTCTAGTCTGAACTTGGATGCTGACCTCCTTTTTTTTTTTTTTTTTTTAAGATTTTATGTATTTATTTAGATAGAACACAATTAGGCAGAGTGGGAGGCAGTGGGAGAGGGAGAAGCAGGCTCCCTGCTGAGCAGGGAGCCTGACATGGGGCTTGATCCCAGGACCCGGGGATCATGACCTGGGCCAAAGGCAGATGCTGACTGAGCCACCCAGGTGCCCCTAAAGATACCTGATTACCTTTACCCATGTTTCTACTAAGGTGTTGGTCTTTTCTTACATATTTCTGTTGTTATGCCTTTCAGCCTTTTTCTGGATGGTTGCTGATTTTTATTCACTTAGGAAGGCCTTTCTTACCTTAAGATTATAAAAATATGTGCCCCCTTTTCTGTTGCCTCTCTGTGATTTTACAGTTAAATGTAAATATTTGTGCCATGTATGATTGATTTTTTCTATAAGGGATGAGGTAAGGACCTAGCATTACTTTTCTCTGAATATCTTACCATTTTTTCGCAATGCCATTTATTAAATAAACTGTCTTTTCCCCACTAATGTCAAACACCACTTTTATACTCAGTTCTCTAATCTTGAGTCTATTTCTGAGTTTTCTGTTGTGTTCCACTGATTTGCCAGTTTTTTGTGCTTCATTATCACCGCTTGAATTACGACAGCTTAATTGTCCTTTAAAATTTTTATTACTGACTTTTGTGAATATATGAATCATACCAGCTTATTCATGTATACTATTATATGTCTGACTATTGCTTAATAATGTGTTTTAAAAATTGATGCTGCCTTTTTTTTAAATAACTTTGCTAACTAAGCTCACAAATTTATTCTTCCAGCTAGATTTTAGAAGTATTTGTGATAGGTCTCCCAAGGCACCCTTTTATATTTTGACTGAGATTTTATTCAGGTTCTAGATGAATTTAGGGGAGAGTTGATTTCTTTACAACTTTGAGCCTTCATAGTTAACAACATGGTCATTTCATTTATTAAAATTCTTGTCTGTCCTTGAATTTTTTTATTAACTTATTCCAAAGTTTTTATTGGTTTTGGCTTCTCTGTCGCTTCGGTGGGATGCCTTTTAAATTTCACCAGATTTTTTTTTTTTTTTTTTTTTTAATTGGGTTGAACCTCTGGGGAAATCCCACATTTTATAATCTGTAATATGAGCTTTTAAAACTCTCTTCAGTATGCCTGCCTCCCTGAACTAACAAGCTGTAATTCCTTTTTTTTTTTTTAAAGATTTTATTTATTTATTTGAGAGAGAAAGAGTGTAAGAGAGATTGAGTGGGAGTGGGAGTGGGGGGATACGGGTTGGGAGGAAGGGCAAAGGAAGAGGGGCAGAAAGAGAAGCCGCCACCCCCTGCTCCATGCAGGGCTGGGTCCCAGGACTCTGGGATCATGACCTGAGCCAAAAGCAGACCCTTAACAGACCGAGCCACCCAGGCACCCCTACAAGCTGTGATTCCTGTGGTGCTTAAGATAAATCAGATAATGGTTGCGTCCTGTAGCTGTTATTCTTCAGTGACTGAGTACAAATTATAACAAATTTCTAATGAAGATGACAGTGCATTGCTGGCCAAAATTAGAGATTAATGCAAATTCAAAATTTCAACTATTTGAATATGACATTTGGTCAGCTTTTTATTAAGTGGAAGGAACAGACCTCTAATTATACAGGTTTCATAAGGCATGCATGTGCTAGTCTGCCCAGCCTCCTTAGACCATTTACATGATTTATTTATTGCACCTGGGAATCTGGGCTCTTCTGCCTCCGTGAGCTGTCCTTGTGCCCAAACCTGTTTTATCCCAAGTTGACTATTGCTAAAGGCGGCTACTATTCATTAAGAGTCTATTACGTGAGATCCAACTGTGTGTTGCCACAAAGAGGTGGAGTTGATTTCTAGGAAGATCTGGCCATGTCTGAACTCTTTGGGGATTGGGACTACGCAACAGGGCTTCCTAGCAGGTGTGCCTGGGTGTGTGTGCGTGTGCTTTGGAGGACTTCTTTGTTGTTGTGGGAGCACCATGACAGGAGGAAGAAGTGGTAATGATTTTAGCAAACCTGTAACAGTGTTCTGAAGTCTTTCACAAAAATCCTGTGCAGTATCCCTTTTTCAAGAAGTATGCTTTATCAAATACTTCAGTATATCTTACATTATAATTATGTAGGTGTCTGCTGAGCTGCTATTACTAGATAGATTCTAGGATCAGAATTTTGAGGGAGCATCGTAATCCAAATTTAAGAAGAAATAGTGTCATCACTAATATTGGAAGTATCCATTCCAGTTGTTAATTTGAGGTCATTAAGTACTTAGCAAGATTATAAGGTGAGCCCTTACCTTGTTTTAGAGGGGGAAAAATAACTAAGTTCATTAAGAACCATTCATTTAAATATAAACAATACAAATTACAATTATAAATTTTTGTGTTAAAACAGCTTGAATCTTTGCTTTTCACATATAATGAGCCATATATTCTCTCAACCTTAGTAAAATATTTGTTTAAGCGTTCTGTGATAGAGAGCCCCTTTCTAGGCCAAATTAGTGTGGCTTGTTTGTGTATATTATTAAATGGTCCAGACACCCTAAAAGGCATAAAGAGTAACACACTATCCATATACCTAACATCCTGCTTAAGATACGAAATTCTACCAATATGATTGCCCCATGTGCTTCTAATTGCATAATCCTTCCTTCGCCTCAGGAATAACAATTATCTCTTTTTAAAGGTCATAGAAGCTGCTTTTGAACTTTAGTGTAACTGGTAGGGTACCCTGACTCTTCTGCAACTTGCTTTTTTTTTCGTTTGCCATAATATTTTTGAGATTCATTTATGTTGATGCATAGGTCTATTCATTTTTGCTGCTTGTATTCTCCCACTGTATGCCATAAAAAAATTTCCTTATCTCTTCTGTTGATGGAAGTGTTTCCAGTCTTTGCAGTTAATAAACAGTGTTCTTCTTGTGCACCTATTTCATAGCTTCCCTAGGGTGCCTTTGACTGAAATTACTGCATCAAAAGATTACTGTTGGGGATGCCCACTTTCCTTGATTAAATTCTCCTTGCTCTATATGCTTCCTTGCTAACACTAGGTATTATTAGATTTATTCTTAGTTTGTTAGTTTGGTGAGTGATAGGTCTCATCTTGAATTCCTCTGATTACTAGTGAGGTTCGACATCCTTTCTTATGTGTAGTAGTATTACAGGTATTTTTTCCTGGTGTAATTGTATATTATGGCAGAAAATTATATGTAAAGTTGAAAGTACCATGAAGTAGTTCCTACTAGATAGAAATATACCATGATTGTATCTTTAGAACAGTGGCAACTTTGCAGATTTTTTGGGAGGAAATAATGTGGCATGATTTTCTGATAGTATATGAGAGCATGAACTTGGGAATTAAACTGATGCTTGAATCCTCGCTGCATTGTTTTTTGTTTTTAAGAGGGGAAGGGAGGGACAGAGGAAGAGGGAGAGAGATTTATCCTTTTGTGTCATTCAGGACATTAGCGACTGTGACAAAGCTGTCCTGGGTCACAGTGGATAGGTGGGAGTAACCTTGGGACCCTTGTGGGTGCCCGGGATCTGGCCTGGGTTTGGGGACTGTCACTAACTGTACGATGCAGAAGAGATGGCTGGGTGCCGTGGAGTTCATAATGGAAAAGCAGGCTTGTAGATAATTGTGAATTGATGTTATTTAGAGTGTTCTCATGTCCCTTGCCACAGGAATAGCTCCACATGGCTTCCAAAGATGTGACCGTTACAGTTCGCCTCATTCGTTCATTCGAGCATCGCAATTTCAAGCCTATAGTATATCACGGAGTTGATTTGGACCAAACTACAAAGGAATTCATAGTATTTCTAAAGCAAGGTATGAGATGTCTTAGTCATTTTGCTTCATTAGCATTTTGAAAAAATAGCTGACTCTTACATAGATGGTAATCTTTTAAAAATACTTTGGAAGATATTAATCTAGGTTCTAAGTCAGGGACTAGGTCAGCTCCTGTTCTGTTCCTTGGCGTCAGCAGGAAGTACCTTCCTGAGGCTCATTTAGCCTGTGTGTGCCCACCTCAGGAATTGCCCTCATGTTTGGTTTCTCCCTTTATTTCTCCTTTTTTGATTTTTAAATTATTTATTATTTATCTATTTATTAAGATTGTATTTATTTGAGAGTGTGAGAGGGAGAGCACGAGGAGGGGGGAGGGGGGGGGGGGAGACCCCCCCCCCCCCCCCCGCCACCCGCCCTGCACTGAGCAGGCAACCCGATGTGGGACTTGATCCCAGGACTCTGGGATCATGACCTCAGCCTAAGGCAGATGCTTAACCATCTGAGCCACCCAGGCACCCACCTTTTTTTTTTTTTTTTAATTAAAAACAATTAAGATCTAGGTTTTCTTATAATGAGTTTTTGTATTTGGAGGTTGATTAACAAGGAAATGTAATGTGGCTAATTGTGTGGCCTGGCTGAGTGCACAGAGGGCCTTACAGGGCAAGGTAGGAAAGTGGCAGACCTCTGTACAGCCAGAAAATCATGAGGGCTGTTGGTCATTGAGATCACAACCAGACCAACTGGTGCTATTTTATCATTTTGAGCTTAAAATTCAAAAGGCATAAAGTGAGTGAAGTCTTTTTTCCCCCCTCCCCAAAGATTTTATTTATTTGTCGGGGGCTGGGGTGGGGGTAGAGAGAGAGAGAGTGTGTGCAAGCACACAAGTAGGGGGAGCAGCAGGCAGTGGGAGAGGCAGGCTTCCCGCTGAGCAGGGAGCCTAATGTGGGACTTGATCTCAGGAGCCAGGGATCATGACCTGAGCCAAAAGCAGACGCTTAATGGACTGAGCCACCGGGTATCCCAAGTGAAGGATTTTGATAGGACCTCAATGGGTTTCTAACCCCTGTTCTTAATTATTGAAGTGTTCCAGTCATCAGCATTTGATAAAACATCTAGAATAAGCTTTTATTATTTTAATTGAAGTGTAATTTATGTATGGAGTACAGATTATAGTTCCATGAGTTTTGACAAATGTATTGCTTTATACCCATCTTAATTTTTTTTTTCTTTGACATAATTTTAGACACAGAAAAGTTGCAAAAATCGGACAAAGAATTCCAACTTTGGGCAGTTTTACTGCTCAGTATTACCTAAGTAGGGAGTAGGCAAGGTGGGCGACCTATAGAGAAGACAGACCAGTCAGTCTCCTTTAGTGACTATAGTAACTCCTGTAGTGACTATAAAAGATGTCATAAGGAGAACATAATTACTCCTTAAAGTAACTATAGGCTGACATATGGAGCATATGTCGTGTTCTTAATTGTTAGGGAGAAATTGAGAGTTGGTACTAAGATATTGCCAATTACAGCGTGTCTTGCTTTTGAAAAGATAACACTGGCAGCATATTTGGATTTCAAAACAAAAACAAATCCCTCTATTTCTTAATTTGAAATCATTATGCATATTGTGGATTACAGTGTTTCTTGGTATGTCACAGAATGTGCTATGATGTTCTTGGTACAGTGCAGGATAAGTTCTTCTCAAAGCCCTTGAGAATGGGGTGTAACCTTCAGGCTACTGCACGGGCAGGGGAAGATGTACCTCTACTTCCCCCTGACCGTCCCCTCTCCGCACCCCCAGTCACTGTGTTCTTCCGTTCCCAGGTACCATAGGCACCTTCCCCATCAGAGCAGTGGTATAGATCACAGCTAGATGCTCAGCCCTGCCTGCCCAGATCTTTCACCTGTGTTAGTAATAAAATTACTGCTGCTTTTCAAAGTTACACATGTAGGAAATGTGTCCCACTGACTAAGAGGTGAACTTTTGGGATGCGGGCTCTTTTGAGATATGGACTCTGTGCCCAGGCCTATCTGACTGAAGCACTGTGGAACTTCTCTGAAAGGTTGGTGGGCCACATATCTACCTTTTATAATTTTGTACATAACAAAGGGTTTATTTCTGGGGAATTTTTTTTTTAAGATTTTATTTATTTATTTGATAGAGATCACAAGTAGGCAGAGAGGCAGGCAGAGAGAGAGAGGAGGAAACAGGCTCCCCGCTGAGCAGAGAGCCCGATGTGGGGCTCGATCCCAGGACCCTGGGATCATGACCCGAGCCGAAAGCAGAGGCTTTAACCCACTGAGCCACCCAGGCGCCCCTGGGGAATTTTTTAAGTAATAATAGCAGCAGATGTTACTGTGTGCCTGGTACTGTGCTGAGAACTTAAACTAGATGATCTTACTTCATCCCCCCCCCCCCCCAGATTTTATTTATTTATTTGAGAGAGACAGAGGGAGAATACGAGAACACAAATAGGGGAAGTATTAGAGGGAGAGGGAGAAGGAGACTCCCCATTGAGCAGGGAGCCCGATGTGGGACTCGATCCCAGGACTCTGGGATCATGACCTGAGCTGAAGCTGAACTGAGCCGTCCACATGCCCCTTATTTCATTCTTCTAAAGTAAGAACCATTTTATCCCATTTTATTTATAGGTGAAGAAACTAAGGAGCAGGGAAGTTAAGAACTTGCCTGAGGTTACATGGCCGATAGAAGGCAAAGCCGCAATCCATCCCAGGCAGTTTAACTGTACAACATGTTCTCTTTAAAATTTTTTTTTATTTTAAATTTAGTTAATTAACATATAGTATATTATTAGTTTCGGGGTAGAATTTAGTGATTCATCCTTTGCATATAATACCCAGTGCTCATTCTATCAAGTGTCCTCCTTAATGCCCATCACCCACCTTCCCTCCAGCAACTCTTAGTTTGTTTCCTATAGTTAATAGTCTCTTATGGTTTGTCTCCCTCTCTGTTTTTATCTTATTTTATTTTTCCTTCTCTTCCCCTAGGTTCATTTGTTTCTTAAATTCCACATATGCAGGAAATCATATGGTATTTGTCTTTCTCTGGACTGATTTCACTTAGCATATGTACTCTTTTCTTAAAATTTAGATTCAGTTAGCCAGCACATAGTACCTCATTAGTTTCAGTTGTAGGGTTCAATAATTCATCGGTTGTATATAACACCCAGTGCTCATCCCATCACGCAGCCTCCTTAATGCCCATCACCCAGTTGCCCCGTCCCCCCACTCTCTCCCCTCCAGTAGCATATGTATTCTACACACCACACTAAGTTGCCTCTCTTCTGTTCTATTGCCTGACTAGCAAAGTGGGTCTCTAAAGTAAATGGGTTCACTAAGTGTCAAGAGTCTTTGCATTGAGTTCCTCTTGCTCTAGTGTTTTGAACCCTGAAAGCTAGAAGAGTGATGTGACCCTGTGGCTTAGTGAATTTTGCATACAGCCAGAAATGACCATTGTGATGAATCATCTTTGGGTGGGGGACAGGGATGTTTTAGATGCCTTCTTGCCTTTCTAACTGTTCACCTTTTGCCATCCTTAATCTAGCTAGTCTCCTCTCATTATTATCTGTTTCTCCCTCAGCAAAGGAACTTTGCTTAAACTGGATTCATACTTACTGAGAATCAGTTTCTCAACATCATGCTATTTAAACCTTAAGTTGTATAAATATAATAAGTATAAATAGAAATATATAAGATTATGTATAAGTATGTAAATATAATAAAATAAACCCGTTATTAACATATGGGGAATGGGTGTTACATAATCTGATCACAGACATACTGTGTATACCTTCTTACATAGGTGACTAATTTTCTAGCTTCAGAATAGTGTACACACCAATTATCTAGATAATATAAGACATTTTAATTATTCTTTGATTTGGAAGCATTTAAATATTTTGTAATCCTTCAGGTCTTGATTCTGAGTGTAAAATCAGTCCACCCATGAAACAGAAAAAGGCTGTAGGGGATTTGCCAGACCTTCTAGTTTGGAACCACTTCCTGTCCCTCCTTACTCCTGGTGGTATGTTACTCTGTAAAGCAGCTGTTCCATTGGGTGAATACTACAAGAGTATTAGTTTCTTTGTTTCTTTGTTTCCTTGTTTCTGATGCTCCTGTCCACACTTTCCGCTGTTACTAATGTCTTACCTTAGTCTGCTACTCTTATTGCAACGAAATGAGCAAATAGTGAGGCATCATTAACTAAAGTCCATGGTTTCTTCTGGTTCCTGTAGTTTTTACCTTGTATCTTTATTCTGTTCCAGGATCTCTTCTAGGATTCCACACTACGTTTAGCTGTCACATTTCCCTAGATTCCCCCCAGGTCATGTGGGTTCCTCAGATCTCTTCCCCCCCTTGATGGCTTTCACAGTTTTGAGCAGCACTGGTCAAGCCTCTTGGAGGACAGCCCTCTAGTGGAATTTGCCTGCTACATTTTTCGTGATTAAACTGGGGTTATGGGTTTTGGGGAGGAAGGCCATGAAGGTGAAGTGTCCATTTTATCTCACCATATTGGGGACATGTACTTTCTACGTGATGATGATCACTGCTGTTAGCTCCCCCGGCTGTGGCAGTATTAGGTTTCTCCACTGGAGAGCTAGCCTTCTCTCTCCTCATCTCGTACTCTTGGAAGGCAGTCACTGTGTAGAGCTCATACGCAGTTCATGAGTGGATAGTTCTGTTCCCCCTTCTTTCTTTCTTTTTTTTTTTTTCCCCCTAAATCAACTTGTGGATTGTATTCATTGTAAGCATACAGTTCAGTAATTGTTCCCCCTTCTTTAGGGAGGAATATCTACATCATTTATTTGGAATTCTTCTGCAGGGCAGATGTCGTTTGGTTGTGCAAGCTCTTCTGGCTCTGGCCTTTGGGGACTTTCAGTTGTCTTCTGTGCCCCTTTGATGTGTGCCTTCTCTGTGTGTCTGCTGAGTACTATCTCACTTTCTGGTGCTGTAGGATCCTTCAGGCTCGTCATGTGTGTATCCTGCTCCAGTCCCAGAATCAGCCATTTCTCAAAGGAGCCC